TTCACGACATTGTTTTCGATGAAAATATTTTACAATTGAAGAGAGAAATTTCAGATAAAATGAAAAATTTAACAGTAGTAATAATTTAACAGTTCTGTTATTACCATTTTTCGTTAAAAAAAAAAGAGAAAAATGATGTTATATCATTTGTCACGCTTTGTTATATATTTCTCGTAATATTGTGAAATATAAAAAAAGAAAAAAAAAACAATTGTCAAATATAATATAAGAAATTTAAAAATTTTGTAACATGATTATTATTGGGGATGTTTAATTAAATATAATTTCCCTTGCAACTATGTAACTTTCGTTTTAATTGTAATTGACTAATGGTACACACGAATTCATTTCAGGATCTCAGCACCGTTTCAAGTAGCTGCTGTGGCTCTAGTCCTCGCCGCTACAATTTCAGCTTTAATTGGACATTGTTATTCGGATCATAGAACTCTGGTGGCCTGTGGATTATTTCTCCTCAGTGGTAAGCTTTCATGCGAAATCAAAGTCGAGCAAAGTTGGCCATTTCTATAAATTATATTATTAAATGGCTCATTATTACGCTCATTATTACGAACGTAAAATTATTACCGCGTTTTAGGTTGAAAATTTTGAAAACGCTTGTCCAAAGTTTTATCTTTTTTATCATCCTTTCGCGATAACAAGGTTAAAGGTATACTTTAAGAAGAAAGAACTTTGCAAAGTTGGAATCCTTCGAAAATTGAAAAACAAACGAAAAGAAAAAAGATAGAGTTTAAAAAGTTTAAAAAGTTATTTCAAAATTAATATGATATTGAAAATTTGAATAATTCTTTAGTTCTATCTGTCTTTAATAATCACCTCTTGATAGATTATTAAAGAAAGAGAAAAAAATCGGGTTGAAGAAAGAAATATGTTGGGATCCGTTGAAATTAGAAAGTAAGGGAGCAATTTACTGAGCTTAATGTACATTTAACGCCATTTCAAAATCTTTTTATTTTCATCCCTAGCAAAGGATCCATTCTTCTTCTCGGTAATTTTCTTTTCATGGGCTCGACAATTTACCCCTCGAAAAAGGACAGGACAGAAAAGTAAGAAAATTCTTACAATTCGTACGAAAGTTCCAAAAAAAAGAAAAATCACAAGAAAAAAAACTCCTCCAAATTAAAAGGTGAAGAATTTCCACAACTTTAAAAGCTCCACATTCTCTCAGCAATTTTATCTCAGTATTTAAACAAAGAACGAAACGAAAACGCTAATTAATTTAAATTATTAACACAATCTTTTTTCCCATCCAAATTTCGCCAATGTTCTCCTCAATGCTTCAAAGAGAAAAAAGAACGAAAGAGTCAAATTTTTTTGAAAAAAAGAAAGCCGAGAAAAAATCGCAGTAGCGATTCGTAAAAATTCTCTCAAAATAACACGAAGTTCGTAGAAGAAGAATCTCATCTAAGTGTTATTAAGTAAAAAGATGATGTTCCCTTCTAATCCAGCGAAAAATCACACGAGACAGGAAACGTGATGATTAACACGCGCAGAGAGAGCGGAAGAGAGGCGGTGGAAAAAGAATGGAGGATGATTTTCCGAAATCCAAAGGTCGTTCGTTCACTGGTCACGTATCGAGTTTGCAACCTTCTCCCTTTTCCTGAGAGATGTGAAAAATATCAGCGGTGTATCAATCTCACTTTCAACCCCTGTTGAAAAGTCAACATCCTTGATCCTCCAAACTGAGAATCGTGCCTGAACAATTCATGAATCGTTTTGGAATCGGATATTCATGTATATATATATATATATAAGTTGCTTCTTTGTTCCTCGGGGAGGTTTGTAGCTTTGCCAATGATGCGGCTTCTTAATATTCGAGAGACTGTTTCCTCGGGAGATGAATCGCTTTATTAAATAAAAACGTGTACATTTTGAATGGGATAGGGGCGGCTTTTGCGATGAAAGTGGATTACTTGGTTATTCCGGTTTTGTTCCCTTCTCTTTAGGGAGGGATTTTTCCAGATTATCCGAGGAAAGGTGTAAATTGTTTATCTGTGTTTTCTATTAGGATATTTATGATATGGTATTTATATAAATGCGCGAAAGTATTATATGTTTTTTGCGTAATATTTCAGCTTTTTTCAATGATAATAATTATTGGAAGAGTTTCAAAAATAAATATTTTCTATAGAAAAATTCTCAATTAAAGAATAAGTTCTATTTCAGAACTGATATATTTAATTGATTTAATCCCTGAAAGTGCAGGGATCAACGAAAGTGTATCATTCTGCAATATTGAACAGTGTTAGAAAAATAAAAAAAAATTCTGTTTGGTGATAAGAAAAATGATTTTTTATACGTACGTATAAATAATATAAAAAAATTGAAAATATTATAAATTGATAAAATTAATCTATAAATATAAGAATAAAAATTCAATAATAAAAATTACAATTATTACGTGAGTATAATTTTATTAAATATTATTATATAATTTTATTAAACCATACAGTTTGAACAAGTATAAATTTAATTATTATAAATAATTCGATAAATAGTATAATTATATATAACATTAAAAAGAAGAGAGAAAGGCATTGTCTCTGATAAAATTATTTATTTATTTATGTAAATACATAATATTTTAACGATGAATGGCAACAAGAATTTATAACAAATCAAAGAATTTTTAAAAAATCCTATGTCTTTTTTTTAATTCTTCTTTTCCATTTCCAGATTGCATCATGGAATTAAACATTTCCGTGATCACAGATATCCGATCGATCGAAAAATAATAAAAAATATAACAAAATGGACGAATCTGTATCGATGGATCTTTCTATTCGGATAAAATCTAATGCGTGAACGAGGAACGTGAAAGGAAAAAGGAAAATCGAGAAAAAGGATATTCAGGGAAACTCTGATGTTCCTGAACGCGCGATGAATCTGAGCTGACTCGATTAAAAATCGGTCGGATGAGATCGTCGTTCGAGCGGAAGAATAAAACGCGACATCCCTTCGATTTCCTACCAAATAATTCGTCTGCCTCGGCTGTAATTAGCGACCAATTTATCGATTCCCGACTTCTTTCCATGAGAAGCTTCCGACTTCCGTTTGATAAGACAGAGCAAACAGAGAAATCTGCCTTTGGATTTAAGCTTTTGTAAAATTTTTAGATTTTTATCGTAGTGATTTTATTCTGTGCCAAGTTGGAGAATTGGAAACATAGTTCTATGTAAAACTCTCCTCAGAAGAATTGGGTTAAAACATCCGGAATATTGAAATTGAAATTGTTAAAGATGTCATTTTGTCAAGTATTTATGGGAAATTAAATCTAGAATTACGAAAGATCCAATTTTGACGGATCTTTTTATAAGTTATTAAAATATTTGAAAAATATTCATATTCATAATAAAAATATGAGAAATAGAATTAAAATCATCCATATACAAGGATATTGAAGGAATATTAACATATAATGATTAGTCAATCAATTTGCATATTTAATTATTAGATACCATGTGCAGTCAAATATGAACTATGATAATCAAATGTAAACTAGCACATCAATATAGTTCCAAAGATAAGGATATTGAAAAGTGGATATTATTGATTAAAAATTACTTCAATTATTTAAATAATATTTAATATATAGAAAATTGCATTACATATTTACATATAATACATTAATAATTTTATTCTTCTCTCAAATATTCTTACAATATATTATTATTATAATTAATATTAGAATTATAATAATAATTATACAAAAATACTTTTAAAATAATGATTATCTATTTATTTACTTTTTCATATAACTTTATAGTTCATTACATATATAAAATAAAACTTGGAACAATTCCAATATTAAATGAAATATTAAATCCAATATTAAATCAAATAAAAGAACAAATCCAAACAAATTCGTAACAAATACTAATAATAAAATCGAAGAACGATACGCATGGAATAACGATCGTTTCAAGTACGATAGAGGGAGAAAAAATCGAAACGATTTTATCATTGTCGTTGCTATTGCGGGAATTTTTCATGGGTGTATCGGCGGCGAAATATTTCCCCTGTTGTTTCGAACCGTGCAGAGGACACACGCGTGATGAAGTCATGCAGAACACGCCAGTGGATCCGTTTCCTCCATTTTCCCTCCCCGATTCTTTCTCTTATTTTCGTGGTGTACACCAGCCGGCGGATTTCGCAGGAAACCCGTGTACGTTCCACGCCGTGAATTCGAAGATATAAGCACGCGGAAAGCTCGGCAATTTCATACAGCGAGCATACGCGAGAAATATACGTATACACGGTGGCTGTGTATGTATATAAATTTCGTTGAAAATCCACCGGTATTCCGAACAAAATTTTAATCGAAATGTAAAAGCCCTCGAAACTCGCCCGGGAAAATACTTTTTCTCCCTGTGAATATTTAACTCGTGTTACCCCCGTGCTCGTGTTTCAAAGTCTCTACTCAATTTTTCCATTAGATGGATTAATCAGGTACAGCGCTTAAAGGGGGTGGGGATACGAATATGTAATTCTCTTCCCTTTTTGGAAACTTTGTGTGTTATTACGTTGCGTTTAATCGCTCGATTTCCCGCGTTATTCCGGCGATACATTTTTGATTTCGAATGAAATGGGTATTAAAATATGGAAAACGTTGGAATTGGATTTAATGGATATACGTAAATTAAGGAATATTTTATACGTGTTTTTACGAATATATCGTGTTTAGTAATATACTGTGCTTAAATTTATTATTCATATATATATATAATTTTATTCTTCAAAGTATAGTATAGCATATTCTTTTTAATACGTTGTTTTAATAATTTTTACGCAAAGGCAGGACATATTTTCGATTACAATAGAGATTAATCCCCAGAGCGAATTAATTTAATTTACATATCGATCTTAAAGCTTTAATTTTCACGTTTTTTCCCTATATACTATTTCTTCTGAACCAATTCCAATAATCGAAAAGTATCTATCTCTAAAACAAAAAACTAATTAAAATGCAAACTTCTCGTCTTGTGAGATCTTCGAGTCCTCGAATTAACCCTCGAATTAAACAAAAAAAAATAACAATTAATACCCGCCATCGAAGAATATAATTCTCCATTCTTCATGTTTCAAGACAAAGAGTTTTGGAGAATTTACAAAGAGACGATACCTTCGCTGTCTAAGGTCTCGTTTTCATTTCGTGCGTTCCTTTCCTCGTGGATCGTCGGGTAATCACGCTTGGGGGAGGTAAAAGCGGCGGAAGCCGGAAGTTCTTCTGCAAGGGCTCGTAATTACATGTCCGTAGCGTACAGGTCGACCACTGTGGAGGGAAGAAAAAGGATGAACGCGAGAGATAACCCAAAAGAGAATGAGAAAGAGAGAGAGAGAGAGAGTAAAACGTGGTCGAAACTCGAAAGCGAAGGATCGGTCTGATTTATATCGAGCTTTACTACTGGACCTCGATCTCGTTCCTCTCGATTCTCGAGGGCCGTGCAATCCTCTCGCAGC